TTCAATCAGCTCACTGTATTCACAAAATGTTTATAATCCTTGAAGGTTCTTTTGTTTATTGAGAGTTAATAATTTGAGCACTTTTCTGCTGAAGTGTGTAAACAATAAGTGCAAGAAAAGTCTATATATATATGCTCAGTTTCTATATACAAATTTACAAATTAATGTTCATTTCACGAGTGTGAAAACCAAATTTCTGTATTAAAGGTTAGAACAAACACTTCAATTTATAGTGCATTTCAACCGAATCAGTATTCAGTATTTATTAATTTATTATTCGACTGTTTTGAGAAATTGAAACGGTCTTACTTGCTTAATCCAGTTCATACCGGTAAATCCATATAGTGATTATTTATCCATTTATCACTATTCGTAGTAATTTGCACTGTCAGCTAAGGGATTTTCCACTAAGAGAGAGAACACAATGATATACAGAGTTGAAGCCTGTCGAGAGTGAGACAGGAATAACCTTAAACAGGCGCAGTAGAGAATTTTGCTAGGTCCGAGATGACTTGCAACAATTTAGGGGTTAATTACATGAATTGTAATCAATAATATCGTTGATAATATAGACCATGTCAGGCCTTGAGACACTGGGAGTAGTATTTTACTATAATTCGCGTACTAACGGGGGTTTTCTGGGGGATTTTTCCTCTGTAGAGCGTTCAGAGGCGAGAGGGTGCAGAGTCTTTGCTTACTCTTCTGCTTCTTGATTACTACTGTTGTGTACCGTGCGTCGAGTCGACTGCCTTTTTCGGAGCAGGTCGCATAAATCAGGGATGTTGGGTGGCAACTGACCAATCACAACAACAAAATAGATCCATTGCTCATAGGGTAATGAAGAAATCTGTAATTTTACCGATTCAAAAGGGCTGCTGTTGCCAGTTTTACAGGATTCTTTTTTTAGAATATTATTTTTATGATAAATAATAGAAATTGAGATTATATTGATAAACTACAAATAATAACATTTTAAACTTGTTGTGGGTTATTTCCGCAACACACAGCTTTAAAAATATTTAAAAAAAATACAAGTTTCGGCCATACACTATAAGAAAAGTCCATAATTTGCATCCCGGAGACGAACGTAGAAGATTTATATGTTGTAAATGGTATCGGCAGAAATGTCAGTTGAATCGAAATTTTTTCCAAAATGTGAGTTGGACCGATGAAGCCTTTATAACAAGTGAAGGTATATTTAATAGGCAGATAGGCACAACGCTCACTATTGGTCAACTTTGAATCCTCACCAGACTGTAGCTAGGGTCCAGCAAGGCCGATTTGGTTTTCATGTTTGGGCAGCCCTCTTTCAAAATAGAGTGTTTGCATATCAAATTTATGAAGAGAATCTCAACGCTCAGAGTTATGTAAGAATGTTGGAAGAACATATTATTGATGCAATAGACGGTATGCCACTAGCTGAGAGAAATCCAATATTTTTCCAGCAGGATGGTGCGCCTGCATATAATTCTCGTTTAGTTAGAGAATTACTAAATGCCAATTTTGGAGGTAACTGGATCGGTACATACGGACCAAACAGGTGGGCACCTAGGTCACCAGACCTAATACCTCTGGACTTTTTTTTTTAATAATAAAATAATAAAGTATATAAAGTTAGATCGAAAAATATAGAAGAATTGGGGGAACATTTTGAAAATGATATTCGGAATGTATCAAACATCCACATTTACAATGCCACCCACTCTGTTGCCAAGCGTTTCCAACCATGCATTAACCAAAATGGCCGGCAGTTCCAGCACTTGTTATAACCATTGGTTATAATCTTTAATAATTGTTGTTTACCATGTTTTCTAGCTTTCTTGATGTGTTTAATGACAATTTATTAATTTTTGTGTTGATGTTTAAAGTGTAGAAATAATATATTATAATATCGCTACTTTTTTATTTATTTTTATTTTTTTTCAAAAAAAAAAATGTGTTTCTTGTTATCTTTGTTATTTAGGGCAAAACCAAATATCATGCGTTATGTATCGGTAAACTCGCCTTTTTTTTGCCAAGCTACTGAACCAATAAAACACAGGGTGTTCCATTTGAAAAATCTCTGTTTATTCGAATATCTCAAAAGATAAAACTCCAATATTTTTTCTAAGTACGCCACTGGATTCTACGTAAAAAAACATATATTTTTTCTTTTTGCACTTTTTTTATATCTCCGATGGGTAAGAAGTCATAAAAATAAGCTGATTTTGAAAAACACCCTGTACCTCGCAAACCAATCAACTTGGCTAAGATCTGACTACACCATCAAATGACACACTAAAAAAGAGGACGGGAAGCGTATATCAGTTTTTCAGTATCTTCGGCCATTTTGGCTGTACCCTATGAAACCATCGAAAATCAACCACCCTGTATAGGGACTTTGATCAATATCTTGAAATCGGGGCCAAATAGAAAAAACTGAGAACGTCACTGAACTCTGTTTAGAAAAGTGCTTCTAGAAAGTTGTTACGGAAATCAATTTAATCAATTATTATTCTCATAAACAAAAAAGTTATGAAGGTTTCACAGTATTGCTCAATCTCAAAAGCGAAAATCGCCATCTAGATGAAGATTTTATGAAATTTGAGCCTTGGAGTGGAGGTTCATTTTTTTTTATCATCTCATCATAAAGAAAGTATAATTAGAAACCACTTCTGGAAATTATTTGAAATTAAAAATTATAATACAAGTCAAATACTAACAATCTCAAAAAAATACATGCTTTGGACTTTTATTTTTTTAGTAAATATGTTGATTATACCAGTAGCGTTACCAAAGGGGGGCGAGGGGTCCGTGCGTCCCCCAAACTGACTTACCTACACAAATTTTCCTACCTTTAAATGTGAGGTCCCGAAGGTCATATGTATTGGGACATTACTAAAAATTCTAGAAATTTACCTTATGAAACCTATGTTTTAACATATACCTACTTTCTGATCCTCAAAATTTCTTGATTTCAATAGCGAAAAACCCCCCTTATCTGAATTTTCTGTTTACGTGCCTGCTAGTTGGGATTTTTAAGAAAGATCAGTTGGGAGATTTCACCTACGCCACCCCCCCAATGAAAAGTCTTTGTGACGTCCCTGCACCCGAATCTACTCTGGACCCTCTTTCGTTAATGTTAATACTCTACTGGAATGATCTGGCGACACTTCTATCCATAATTGAACACCTGAAATTGTTTGAAGACAACACAAGGTTACATAGTCGACACAGACAGTGTTAGTGTATGTATATGGAACCATATACCATACCGTCCATACCTACCCTCAGAGCATAAAATCAAATAGGTACAAAGAAGGTTTCTGAGGCTAGGTTTATTCATCTCCAGATAAACTTCTGCAAGATGACTATAAATTTTCAAACAAATGTGCAATATTATTCTTTAATTTTGTCATTGAATTTTGTATTGAAGAAGTAGTCCATATCTCAAAATGGAGTTGAAATTTAATTCGAAAGAAAAGCTCAAAGTTGAATTTTGTGTCAAAATGTCATGTCAAAACCCCTGACCAATAAACCATAAATGTGCACTCTTTGGATTTGTTTTTTTTTGTTGAAGACCCGTGACTGTTCTATACTCTATTGGTCGGCGGACATCTAGCCGAGTTGCGTGGTTCTCCGCTCATTGCCAAACTTCTCAATCCCCCAATTGACCCACACATTTATGGCATCGGTCCTAATTCGAATAAGTTACCATATTACGATACAGGGTGTCCCACGGTGGATGGCGTATTAGACGTTAATGGAGAACTAAAAAGCGGATCATTTTGAAAATTTGGCAACCGGGATAAACGACCATGATCTACACTTTAAAAATATTTTTGACCATGCGGTGTTGCCGCTTCTACTCTAAACTAGTGGCAACATCACTATTTTAAATGGAACACCCCGTATTAAATTGCATATTTGGATTCTACGTAAAATTCTAAGCAGATTTCATGTGATATACCCTATACCTAAGTTCAACTGTTTTGGAAATATTGACAGTTGAAAATTGACTTTTTGCAACTTTGACAGGCTGTAGAACCTGAACGGTTAATTTTAGAGGAAAACCGATTTTACATTCCTATCTTAGATTTTTATAAACTATCATTTGACACCAACTTAGAATTAAATCCATGATTAAAAATTTCAGTTAAATTTAATCTCTGGTTAAGTTCAAAGTTGGTGTTAAATGATAGTTTATCAAAATCTAAGATAGGAATGTGAAATCGGTTTTTCTCTAAAATTAACCAATTAGGTTTTACAGCCTGTCAAAGTTGCAAAAAGTCAATTTTCAACTGTCAATATTTCCAAAACAGTTGAACTTAGGTATAGGGTATATCACATGAAATCTGCTCAGAATTTTACGTAGAATCCAAATATGCAATTTAATATGGGGTGTTCCATTTAAAATAGTGATGTTGCCACTAGTTTAGAGTAGAAGCGGCAACACCGCATGGTCAAAAATATTTTTAAAGTGTAGATCATGGTCGTTTATCCCGGTTGCCAAATTTTCAAAATGATTCGCTTTTTAGTTCTCCATAAACGTCTAATACGCCATCCACCGTGGGACAGACACCCTGTATGTTGGTTTCGTCCATGTGTGTTAAAACTTGGTGTATGCGATGCCTGCATAAGCAATGTGGAAGGAATGAAGTTTTGTCGGTTACAACAACCAAAAAGCGTGGAAATTGAAAATGTAGAGAAAGTTAAGGAAAATTGTAGGATTAAAAATTTTGGTCTTGGGTGGGATTCGAACCCGCGTCCTCAGCACTGCCGGTGGTACGCTCTAACTAACTAAGCCACCACGACCCTACAGATCTTTTTGATTTTTGTTTTGCTGTTGTTAGCTAAGTTGCGTGGTTTTCCGTTCATTGCCAAACTTCTCAATTTTTTCCCAAAATTTTTAATCCTCTTATTTTCCTTAACTTATCTTCATTTTGAATTTCTACGCTTTTTGGTTGTTGTAACCAACGAAACTTCATTGCTTCCTAAAACATATATTGTTGAAAGCCAACTACAGATAAGACATTATAATAAATTATAAAAAATATCCAAAGAATGATAAAGCTTTTATTTATTAAAAACTTATTACTAAACAGCTTGAGGCTGTTGCTGCATAAGCTCTACTTGGGCAGCAGTAACCGACTTCATTCCTTCTTGGACAACAGCCAAATTATTTTTCCACGAGGAAAGCAAATCTTTCAACTGTTGCCATTGGCTTCTTCCAAAAGTTCTGTGCATGGTACTGGTGACGAACACTTTTCTTGCTGACTGGTCCATGCGAGCACTAACCAACTTTGTTTTCAGCACTGGAATCGCAAATATTTAAAAAAGTTAAAGTATTATTATTCAAATTAGCTAACACCTTCAATAATGAATGCCTCAACTTCTTCCTTTTTAATGTGCAACTCTTGCTCAATGGCCTCAAAACTGATTTCTGGAGTTGTTTCAGCCAATTGCATAAAACTCAAAAGCCTCATTTTGCGTAAGTTTTGTTCATGATTTAATCCTTGGTTGTTGACAAATTCCTTGTGCTCTTTGTAAAACTTCAAATAAGCAGTCAAGTTTTCGCTGACAAAAATATTCAAGAGATCGTGAATAAGTTGGCCCTTTAAAATATGAACAGGTTTTAGTGACAAGAGAGGATCAAGAAGGAATGTTTTGGGGTCGGCGATAGCTGAGGTAATACAGCAAATAGCATCTTCTCTTGCGTGAGACGCAGTTTTGTCTGTGTAGGTGCCTAAGAGTTCAATCATAACTTTGGCAGCTTGCTCACTAAAAAAAAATATTTATATAAGTATCTAGAAAGTAAATTTTTTGGTTGTTACATTAGTAATCAGAACTTTCAAATTTGCAATTTTTTTAAAATCTGATAAGCTCTGATTAATTTCTGCTTTTGGCTTTTAAGAGTTACCTTTGATTGCTCCTTAGCAAAACTTCATGTAAGAGCCTGTACAATTTTTGCAATTCTTCATTGGATAGTGGGCAGTGGCTAAATTGCTGCTTCAACTGTTCAATATCTTGGAAAATTGCCTTAATTTGGTCCGTTTGTTTTGCAATCAACAACAAATGGTAATAAACTGGATACCTCATTGGCGATCTTTCGTCCAGAGATTGATACAACAACCATAATCTAAAATAAAAATTGTTGTATTAGTAGACTGAAAAAGCGGCAAAAATGTTCCAAAATTTTTTTCCAAGGTATAACTACATGAGACCTTCACAGATCGATAGAATAGGTCCATGACCACCTGAAATGGCCAATTACAACATTTTTTCGTAGGTCCAACAATTTTTATATCGAAAAATGGCATAAATTTGTCAAAATTCAGTTTTCATACTTTTTCACACATATCTCGCGATATCTCCGGAACTAATTGAGATAATAATCATTTTTTTTTTATTCTGGAGAGAATATGTTAGCGAAAATCACCAAGATAATTTTGTTTTTCTGAAAAACTCGCTTTTTTCGTAAAACTGGGTAAAACTTCAACTTACACTTTTTATCCAGTACTTTTTTCAGTGAGCAAGAAACTTTTTTGTTTTGCGGATTTTTGTCATACTATCAGCGAATGAAACAAAGCATCAAGGAAGTTTTTGAAAAAAACCGCGATTATCTGCAATGCATGGTTTTCAAGATATCGTCACTCGAGCGGTGTCAATATGAACGCGCACTTAGCGCAGCGCGGCGCGATTTCCTCGATCTGCCTGTTTCTTGAGCGTTGATGCATTTCCATGATACATTTGAGCAAATGGACCTTGTAAATCAATTTTCAGTAGTAATAGCCCAAGGACATTGATATTTGTCCTAAAAAAATTTATAACAGATTTCGAAAGCTCGTTGCTTGAAAACTGACCGACGCCGACGCGTCGGCAAAGTTCTGTTTTCTATAAGCAACAAGCTTGAGAAAGATGTAAAATTTTTCAGCATTTATCAATGTTGGAGGGCTATTCGGATAGAATTTTTTTTTACATCAATGTTCGAGACAACGCAATGTCACAGAGTGTAAACAGCCCTAGGGCTTTTTGCAGTATAATGTTGACATGATTGGGTGATTTGTCTCACATGACAATAAATAAACCTGCGATTTACAGGTTTGCAGATGACAACACGCTTATCTCGTTTTTCATATCGTGGACTGTGGTGGAAACAACATTATCGAGTTTAATGCAGGAAAGACACAAGCAACTATTTTCTCAAAAAAGGCAAACTCCGCAAGATCTGGCCTAACAATGACAGGTTGACAGGACCAACAGTGACCTAGGCCTCATCCATAAATTTGCTAAGCATCAAGCCCAGATAAGTCAGATAAAACCATCCTTTCCTGTTGTGTGTGTTGTGCGACCATAAAAAAAAACTAATAAATGATTCAACGGTCATAATAGCAGGTGGATTCCAGGATTCTGAACTTTGTTCCAAAATAATAGTCTAGGAGGCAGTGACGATTTTTGGTACTTATTTTCCCATTCCCAGTCAGAAAACATGGATAGAATTGTAGAGTTAGTAATTCTAAGCAAAATACATATATTTTTAGGGGGATTTTTCCGATGGGTTGAGGCGCAAAATGCGTTAAAGCTTACCAATGCACGGCCTTTTTTTTCTGAGTGATAAAAATAGGTCTACTAATAAGAAGTATTCTGAAGTTATGTAAAAAAATAGTCCGGCTAATCTGTGAGTATGGATAATATGCCTGACAAGTGAAAAATTAAAGATCCGAAAATTTTCAGTTAGACTCACTTCCACTATCTGAGATAAGCCAAATTACTATTTTCATATACTTTATGTTCTATTGTAGTAAATGTGAAATATTTATATCTGGGAAAATAAGCCTACTTGTATTTTTCATTGATCTTGTGAACCCATCCGAAAATTTTAGCCAGACTCAAAAATTCTTGCATTATATCACCAGGAGAACAAACTATTTAATAGACACCAACTGGGAAAATAAGTGCTAAAAAATTTCACTGCCTCCTGGACTATAAGTACAATTGAAGGATCGAAAAATCTGGAAAAATTAAATAGTACTCAAGAAGAAGATGATACCAGATTAATACCTTACATAACTAATAGTACATTATATACCTAGGTAGAGAAGTTGGTCATTATATACCGAGTGCTTTTATAAACCGAGGCGCGTAGCGCCGAGGTTTATAATGCGTAAGGTATATAATGACTTTCTCTACCGTGGAATATATAGAATTTTTTTTACTACTGCTATAGTGGAAAATAAAAAAGAAGTTTGAAATCTGTGCTCAAATTATTTTTTCTAGTTGGAAGTGCTGCCCTCTATCAACATCTATGGTAATTTCCTATGATACATAGAGGAACCTGTTTTTTTGATTAAATTGACAGTTTGAAATTGAAATTAAATCAATAGAAACCTGTAACGTTATGACAATATCCTTGCTTCATGACGTCATTTTCATTATTGACCTAGGTTTTTTTTCATTATTTTCATTATTAACCTAGGGAGAGAAATTCAATTTTTTCCGAGAAAAATAGATTGAATAATGACTACTTCTCAGGTTAGTAGTAAAAAATAGTATATTATATACCTAGGTAGAGAAGTTGGTCATTATATACCGAAAGCTATTATAAACCTCGGCGCTGCGCGCCTCGGTTTATAATGCTTGAGGTATATAATGACTTTCTCTACCGAGGAATTTATATAATTTTTTTTACTACTGCTAGTAGAAAATAAAAAATTTGTTTAAAATCTGTGTTCTAATTATTTTTTGTGAACGCCCTCTTGAAAGTGCTGCCCTCTATCAACAGCTTATATAACTTCCTATGTACCTACAGAAACCTGTATTTTTTTCAAATTGACGTATGAAATTGAAATTGAACCAATAGAAACATGACAATATCCTTGCGTCATGACGTCATTTTCATTATTGACCTAGGTATTTTTTCATTATTTTCATTATTAACCTAGGGAGAGAAATTCAATTTTTTCTTAGAAAAATAGATTGAATAATGTCTATTTCTCAGGTTAGTAGTAAAAAAAATCAGTTAATACAGTTCTGGTCAAATCACTTGATACCGATTTTCTGTCCTAAATGTTGCTTAATCGTGCTCACTGCACAATACCAGCAATTATCCAAAGTCTATTTATAGACCGGGAGTTAGATGGACTTGACTATGCATAATATGAGGACCGCATTTTATCAATGGATTGTTGCTGAGAAAAGCTCAAAAATTAATAATCCGGATCTTGCCGGCTCATTTTTTGGTCCATTTTTTTTCTATCCCCTCTCCTCTCACTTAGAAAGGAATTCCATGGAGCCTACCTATGCTATGTGTGTGATTTTAACGACTAATATAGTTCCAATTCAGTATGCTCTTGTGGTGAAAAAGACGACAGGGTTTTAAATAGAAAAGTTCGTTAAAATTTGCTGTTACTAGTGGGATTTAAACTCACGACCCTGGGTTTTCGTCCATTGCTCGAGAGGTATGGTGACATAGCTACAGCGGTGCGCTTATTATTATTATAATTATTATTTGAAAGTTTGTGACAAATCAAACTATACGGAATCCCAGGCGTCATGGGTTCAAAATTACCAACCAAAAAACCACAAAATGATATTAAAGAAGATTTATTTTAAAAATTTTACAAAAAGAAACAGCAAATACAAATAGAAATAGATGAAAGCGAGATAAATAATTATTAATTTTTATTTAGGCAGTCATTGTTTAAGCATTTACCTACGAGCGTGCGGTAAAGTGCACTTTACCGCACGTATTTGAAAATGGAAAGTAGCACTTTACCGCACACTATGCGGTAAAGTGCACTTTACCGCATAGTGTGCGGTAAAGTTAACTTTACAGCATAGTATGCGTTAAAGTGGACTACAAAGTGTGCGGTAAAGTGCACTTTACCGCATGGTGTGCGGTTAAGTAGAATTTGATATTTATAATCAAAATTCCTTTTTTTTTTCGGAAAATGGATTTTTGATCATTTCTAAATCTAATCTAATTCCATTAATTAATCTGATTCATTAATTAATTTTATTAATGCCTTTTTTTGGAGATGTAGATGCTCATAGGTAAAATTTTGTACCTAACACATGCGGAAAGTGCCTTTACCGCCCTTAACTGCCGTTGCGTGCGGTAAAGTATCACTTTCCGCATTTGTTAGGTAAATAACTATTACACAATGAAATACACGGTGATTTTGTCTTTTTACAACTGCACGATATGGTTCGACAATTGGACGTACATTTACAAGGCTGAATCAATGATTCTGGCAAAGGCAACATTGTCATTTGTCGTGGACGTAAGTTACCATTGCTTTCGATGGGTCTTAATTGAGTTTGATGTGCATTTTGCCAAATATATGTTTGTACTGTAGCCCTTAGCAAATGCAAATGCAAAGCATCTGACGTAAAGCTGAAACCCAAGCTGAAACCTATGTTTTGGAAAATCACCTTATATCGCAGTTCATCAGCAGTTAGTTTTTTTTTTTGAAAAAACATATGTGCAGAGCATTTATAACTGTTTTAGCTGTCCAATTGGCTATTTTGATTTTTTTCAAAACTATAGGAACAGGGAAGGTCAAAAATAAGCTCCTGTTCAGTCGTCGTTGGATGACCCTGTACATCTCGCAGTCTTCTTTTACTTGTGTATATTTTGGAGCATAATTGCAAAGATATCCAACAAGTGGTAGAATTATTTTGAGTGCTTGAAAAGAAAGCCTTAGGCACAATCAATAGGAATTATTGTAAAATGACTTGAAATTGTGATATTTTCCATATAACTTTGCATTGGGAAATGGCAGGAGAGTTAGGGACCACTCCAGCTGCCGGCAAGATGTACTTTCCCATTCTTCAAAATCACAGGAACACGAATTTGAGCAGTTTTGCCGGTCCTCATATTTTGCATACTCAACTACTTGGAGCGCCTGCTCTATTATACATTTAGGACATGGTAAAACTACATATTTTTTTACCAATAGATGATATGTATCTAAATATATGTAGTGGGAAATTTGGAAAACGAAATTTACAAGGATAAAAATGTTGGAGTGAATGTGAATATCCAAACTGCAGTAGTAACAGTGTGCGTATTTACACTCCCGAACCCGAAGTGCTTTCGGATGATGATTTAGAGGACCAAGTTATTGAAAATAATTAGTGAACAGCAAATATTTATGCTAGTATTATTCAAAACCAAAGTTAAGGATTTTATTAATTTGAATTTGCTCAAATATATCATGAAAATGCACGCAGGCTCAAAAAACAAGCAGTCGAAAGACGCACGCTGCGCCAAATGTTGCGAACGTACTCGGGTAGTGCACGGCCGGTAAAACTCACAAGTTCAAGGTACGATATCTTGGAAATTATGCATCGCAGAGTATCGCGGTTTTTTTCAAAAACTTCCTTGATGTCTTAGAGTCTTAGCTTAGCTTTGTTTTATTCGCTGATAGTATGGCAAAAATCCACAAAACAAAAAAGTTTCTCGCTTACTGAAAAAAGTACTGCATAAAAAGTGTAAGTTGAAGTTTTACCCAGTTTTACAAAAAAGCGAGGTTTTCAGAAAAACAAAATTATCTTGGTGATTTTCGCTTACAATTTTTTTTTTTTTTTTTTTGTTTAATTTATTTATTTATTTCAGACCTCAAAACAGTTTAGAATAAACTGGCACCGAGGCCTTAATATCAATAATATAACATAACAGAAGTAAAATATAACATTTAACTAAGCACTTAAAAAATATATTAGATCTATAATCTGTAATTGTTCTTAGGTATTCTTTAAGGTTATGACACATTTCTTTAATCACACCCTTCAGTACAGTCTTTGGTATTTTGTTATAGGCCTGTACGCATCTATAGATTGGAGAGTCTTGTTTTTTCTTTGTTCTGGCATAAGTATTTCTTAGTCTTTGGTTATTTCTGGTATTGTAGTTGTAATATTGTCTATTTTCATTTAGTTCTACATTTGTTTTAAGCAATTTATTTTGGATAGCATAAATAATTTTGTTTGTTCTAGTATTTTAAGCTCACATATTTTTAGGCAAGGCAGACTTTTGTAAATTTCTTCACTAGGGACATAAAAGTTCATTCCAAATATTGTTTTAAGAGCCTTATTTTGAAGTCTCTGGAGCCTATTTATTTGTGCAATACTTGTATTTCCCCAACACGTTATCAAATAACTAAAATGTGGCTCTACAAAACTATTATAGAGCAGCTGTTTTGTTTTTTGGTTTAGTTGATGTGAACATCTTTTAATTACACCTATCATTGGTGCTTATCCCATGTTAGTTTTTCAGAAATGAGCAAGCCAAGGTATTTATATTCACATACTCTTTTCAAAGCTACTTCATTTATGTTTATGTTTATTTGTGGGTTTAGGGGTGGTTTTCCTGTTTGTTTACTAACCATATATATTGTTTTTTTCGCGTTCAACGAAAGTCTTTTATGGCACAGCCAACTAAAATATTGCTTTAAGTCACTATTTACAAGTTCGTCAAGTTGTATTGGACTGTCACCTGAGTAGACCAATACAGTGTCGTCTGCAAATTTAAAGTAGGTTGCTTTTAAGTTTGCATATTTCAAACTATGTTCATACAGTAAATAAAGTATTGGCCCCAGCACTGACCCTTGGGCAACTCCTACATTCAAGTTAAGTTGTTCACTACTCTCACTATTTATTGTTGTAAAGTGCTTTCTTCCAGTAGAGTAAGATTTTAGCAGGTTATAGCATGGTCCACGCCCCATGGAAACCCATTTTATATAGTTTGCTCATCCTTAACTCTATATTACCAGTGTCGAAGGCTTTTTGAAGGTCGACAAACACAGTTATGACATATTTGCTTTTGTCCAACTCACTGGAAACATATTCCAACATATCCACTGCTGCTCCTTGTGAGCTACTTTTACATTGAAACCCATATTGCTGTTTATCAAACTTAAAATTTGTTTCAATGAAATTTATTAATCGGGTCTTAATAATTTTTTCTAACACTTTGGAAAAAGTACTGAGTAGTGAAATTGGCCTATAGTTATTTATGTTATCGTGCTCGCCTTTTTTGAATATTGGAATGATTAAAGCAATTTTGAGTTCTTCAGGGTAAATTCCAGTTTGCAGAACGCTATTAACAAGTTCTACTATTTTTGTACCAATAATGTAATATAGAGTTTGCAAATCTTTTTTCAATATGCCATCAATGCCTGGAGCACAGTTGTTTTTTAAGATATTGATCGTTTCTTTCATTTCTGTAAGGGTTGTTGGTTCCGGAATTATGCTTTCCTCAACTTCCTCCTCTTTGAAAATAGTTTTTGAATTTTGTTTTATTTTGTCTGCTAAAGTATCTCCTATTTTGGAAAAATGCGTATTGAATTCTTGAGCCATTTCTTTATTATTTTTAACTAACTTTCCAGTAGAGTTGATTATTTAATGTATTTTTTTATTTTTATTTTTATTGGTATTAAATATTTCATTCAGTACTGCCCAGGTCTTCTTTGAGTTGCCGTTGCTTCATTAAACTGTCTTTCTGCATACTGTTTCTGCAGTTTTTTTCTAAGGTTGTTTAGTTGGTTTTTGGCTTTTTTAAACTCCGTTTCACAATATTCATTTTTAATTCCTTTCCACCTAACATACAATGCGTCCTTCTCCTTGAGCTTAGATAGGTAATTGTTTGTTATCCAATAATTGTTTTGTTTTATTTTTATACTGTATTCTTTCGTGCATTCATTTTTTGAGGTATTTATGATTTGTTGTTATATGGTCCAGGATAGATGCTGTATTGCTAGTCACTCTAGTTGCATTTTGTTGCAGCACTTCATCCTGGAACTTAAATCCATTCATTTGTATTATGGTTTGGTAGTTATTGATAGTTTGTGATTGCTTCAATAAATCTAAGTTCATGTCTCCTATTATTATGCACTCATTTTTTTGTTGTTCCAGTATTGTGTCAAGTTTGTTTGAGAAAAATTCACAGTGGCTATGTGGGGGTCTATATATGTATAGCTATTACGGAGAGCTTTTGTTTTGGTAGGTAGAGAAATACGATATTGCAGTCTTCAATTTGTATTTTATGCTTGTTGCTTTGGACATAGTGTAGATCTTCACGTATGTAGATACTACATCCCCCACCACGTGTATCTCTGCAATCATGTAATGCGCAGAGTAGTTATTTAATTTAAAACAGTCTTTCTCGTTTGGGTGGATCCAAGTTTCTGTTAGGACTATCAAATGTATAATTTTTTTGTGTACTAGTATAACATCATTAATATCATTCAGTTTATTTCTAACGCTTCTTATATTGATATATAGAACATTTAGTTTTTGCTCCATTTTTTCAGTCAAGTTTTCAGTCTCTATTTTAAATGAATAAATATTTGTTTATTATTTACATTGTATTTACATATCTTTTATTTATAACTGCTCTATAGCGTTCTCATTTTTAAGTTTTTACTGGTCTGTCATTTTAATTTTTTTTGAGAAATACTTTTCCATTTAAGACATACGCTTTGTAATAATTATTTTCCTTTTTTGTGTCCCTTACCCTTTTAAAAAGCATCTGATTCTGGCGTGTTAAGTCCTCATTAAAATATATGTTCTTTGGACCTCCGGTCAAGCCACATTCGTTCAGCTTAAGTCCCTTCAGTTGCCTTATTTTTGACATCAATTCGTGTTTTATTGTTGTGCTTTCGAGTTTCAGTAATATTGGCAAGCCTTCGTTTTTGTTTAATCGGAAAATTTCCTGGGCATCACCTTCATGTATAGGCACTTTTAGAGCGTTAAAGATCTTTTTCATTGTTTCGCTCACCAGTTCTTCTTGCTTTGGTATACCAGATATAACGATATTTTTCTGCTTTTCTCCCTGTTCAATTTTATTGATCCTTTCTTCCATTGAGTCCACCTTTTCCTTCAGTTCGTTATTTTCCCTCTTAAGGTGATCGATTTCTTCAACTGTTGTTTGGATCTGTTTTTTTTTCGTTCTTCAAAACTATCCGATAAAAACTGCATGGATTTTTTTATTTCACTTATTTCTTTCTTCGTAGTATTTTTGAAAGGTTCAAAGTGGTTTTTGAACGTTTTTTCGAGCAGGGCTTTCATTTGTTTTTCGTCCATGATGTTTCTAGCCTCACTTTTGTCGAGCGTTTTGCAACAAGTAACTTTGTTACCGCTATCAGCAGCCCCCGCCTGTGTCCCACAACTGGGGTGAAAGCTGGTCTTGCAGACACCACAATCCAACGATGAAACAACTTTTTTTTGCAAAATTTGCAGTATTTTTGGGTTTTTTTTATTATCAGCTGTGCCTTGTAGTGACATAACCTTATTTGAATTGAAATTCTCTCCAGAATAAAAAAAAATTTGATGATTTTGTCTCAATTAGTTCCGGAGATATCGCGAGGTATGTGTGAAAAAGTATAAAAACTGAATTTTGACAAATTTATAACATTTTTCGATAAAAAAATTGTCGGACCTACGAAAAAATGTTGTAATTGGCCATTTCAGGTGGTCAGGGACCTATTCCATCGATCTGTAAAGGTCTCATGTAGTTATACCTCAAAAAAAAAAATTCAAGGAAGTGGCTTTTTCCCGATTTTCAGTCCACTATATACCTTAATGTATTTTATTTATCTAGTTCTGATTGACTTTACAAATACACATAACTCGACAGTCTCTGTGGAATTTCACACGTCAGAATAATAATTACAGTGAAATGTATTCCAGCATTATAGAAGAGTATGATGGGTTATTAGTTAAAGCCAGATCAGAAAGTTACGCGAATCGAATACACATTTTTTCTGGTAATAAAAATAAATGTATGTGGTCTATTTATAAAGAGATAACAAGTAACTCAAATCTACAAGAGGCTATGATTGCTGGAAAACCTGACTAAGTATCCAACAAACATAACGCGTATTTATCAAAATCCATTCCAGATCCAGAGTCGTGACAATACTATTAGCCTCAAAGTATTTGAAATGATAGTTTCCCATTTGCCTTTGTCATCTGATCAAATTCCACACATACTGTAGACAAAAATTATTGAAACTTGGGGTTTTGTACTTACGCTTTTGAACAAACTTCTCCAAGTTTTTGTCCATGAGCTTTTGTTAATTTTTCGCAGAAAGCTAAAATTATATTTTCAGCTCTTTCAGGTGAAACCTAAAATTGTAAAATCATAAATATCTCCAACACCATTTCTTCCTGTAACAGAATTGTTAACTTACAAGAACCATTATGGATACAATATCATTGAGGACAAGTTCAACCTCGGCTTCGTTGCCTTCTTTGAAGCAAGTGTCACAAACTCCAATAATTTTGTGTAGATCATCTTCGATGCCTTTAGGAGACCTTTCTTCTGAAATTTCTGCTCCCAAGCTTTTTAGATAAGCTCGAAGTTCTTGAGTCTGGAACAATAAAATTCTCAATTATAAATACATATTATGTGGAAATATTGGTCTAGCTAGAGCAACAGTCCCATTTTAAACCTTGTAAAAAAATCACTATAAATATTATGACGCAATCTAAAGCAGGGCACAGACAGTATTTGTCACATTGCAATTCTTTGCAATTTGCCGATCAGCTCGTTTAATTTATGTTCGACGAGCAGGGTATATTCAAATTCAAATTGAAAAAAGCTTTATTGTCGAAATTTCCCAGTAAAAATTATTGACAGAGAAACTTAAACACTACCTATATCTGGAAAATCCGGACAAACAAGTTTCATACTAATGACTACTTGAAATGTGATCTAATTCTAATAGTTAAAAAAAGAAAAAAAAAAACAATAAAAATTTGTAAAACTAGCCAACAAATAATGACACAAAAAAAAACACAAATGGAAGGTAAAATTCAACATACATAAAATTGCAAATAAAATGAACAAGGAAATAAATACAAACGAAATGTAAAAAAAAGACAACAATCAACAGCAAGACATAAAGTGTGTTTTTTTTTTAAAGATAATTCCCCAAGTCAAAAATTTAGTAACTATGTTGGCAACACAAGCCTTTTCTACATACAAAATTTGAAAGTATTGACAATTTTACATTGTATTGCCAACATAATGTCATTTGACTTTTATCTTAAAAAAAAAACAGACTTTAGTGATGTAAAATTCCCGAAACATTCAAAAGCCGCGAACATTCTCGGAAACTTTCCGGGAATATTGGAATCTTTCGGGAACTTATGGAAATACATACTGTTTTTTTTTAAAATTTATAGCTAAATGAGACAAATCGTAGTAAGCTTTATTTACCTATTATTGGAGTGTACTGACTATAGACTTTAAACCAAGAAAAACACCCTTTTTTTTCTGTAAGATCAGCTAAAAATTAAACTATATAGTAAAAACCGAGGGGTGAATAGCTGACCCAAAATGTGTACACCGACTGCCAAATTCCACAATCTCTAAGGAAATTTGCTAAGATTGTGAGTGATTGTGTACGATTGTGAGTGATTGTGTACGATTGTGAATGATTGTATAAGGATTGTGACTGATTGTGACTGATTCTGTCATGATTGTGAGTGATTGTGACTGATTCTGTCATTATTGTGAGTGATTGTGTAAGGATTGTGAATGATTGTGTAAAGACTATAGGTGTTTTCTCACGTGCCAAATGTTTTAAAACGTTTTTAAAACTGGTTTACAACAATGTCACATGACGTCATAACTTCTCGGCTCAAGAAAATGGTTTTAAAACGTGGATTGGATTTTATTTCGAAACGGTTTAACCAATTTTGATGTGACGTCATAGGTTCATCGCGAGAATATACTGTTTCAAAAACCTGTTTTGATACAACTTTAGAAAAGTAAACGTGAGAAAACAGCTCTGGAATATTAATTGGGTCAGAATAAAAAAACAAAATATCAAAAGTAATTTTTTTCTGTAATTATAACAAATTGAAAAATATTATCATAAGCAATGTGTAAAGAATATTCGTTTTTTTTTATCTTTCTTATACACATTACTCTGATTGAGCAGTTGTACAGAGTGGCGCAGAGGAAACGCATGTTTTTCACATAGTTATAAGCAAACATAACACTTTTAATCTTCAAGATAATTTTGTTTCAATTAGGTACAGCTAAGTGAAGTGATAATAGTGCACTTTTCAATAAATAATGAAAAATAGTGTCAGTCAAGGAGTGTCGTCCTGCTTTGGGGTCTTCAACCCCTCTTGAAAGTTGTTCATCACACTTGAAACATGCGTTTCCTCTGCGCCACCTACAGAATCAAAAGTTTTTTAAATTGGGGCAAAGTTACGTAGTTTCTTGCTCACCAAAATGCCGTTCTGAAATCTGGAAAATTCCGAATACTTCCGGAGGTATTCGGAAAAAAACGAAATTTAGCAATTTTTTTTTCCTGTGCTTATTTGAAGCGATACTTCAAAATAAATGACACTTCAGCCTTGCCACTTTTCCTCCTCTACAATATGGTGTTCTCAAATTTGGAATCCGACGTTTCGTCTTTGGACCAACATCATCAACTTTATACTTTTAAATACAGATCTGGATTTTTTATTTAGTTCTTTGTTAGTTTTTACTTTTTAACTTCCTCAATAGAATGATGTATCAAAACAATTGATAAAATGAACATTTCAATTTTAAAAGTATATAATTTGTATGGAGATGCTCATCTTTGTCAAACACATTGTTTTCTTCATAAATTTGTCTTTGTCAAACTCATTATTTAAAACAAATATATTAATTGGGAAAATTGTATCAATGAGTATATCCATACAAATTATATCATACTTTTTTGACTGAAATCTTCATTTTATCGATTTTTTTGATACACCATCCCATTGAAAAAGTCAGCTAGCAAAGAACTACACAAAAAGCCAGAGCCATATTCAAAAACATAATGTTGATGGTGGAGTGGCCCAAAGACGACACTCGGATTTCAAATTTGATAATGCCATATTGTGGAAAAAAAAAATGCCAAAGATGAAATGCAATTCATGTTGAAGTATCTCTTCAAAAATAATCTCAGAGGAAAAAAAAAAACGGCTTCGTTTTTTAGTACCTATCCGGAATTTTCCAGATTTCGAAACGGCATTTTGGTGAGCAAGAAATTGCGTAACTTTGCCCCAATTTAAATGAACCTGCATCTCTTATGGTTATCCAGTAGCCGATTTACAATTTCACTAGTCGAGCGTCTCGTATAGGCAGCATCAACGTTATTTCCGAGTCGCATCCTTCGACATCGAGCAATTATTAGAATCCTCATCCAGATTCATATACTTACCCGTGAATTTGGAAACACCCTATACAATTTTTTTTTTCTATCTGAGGTGAATCCGTTTTGGTTTTTAAGTTAAATGTTTTTAACCACGTTTTTAGCTCTCACGCACAACAAGCACCTACCTCAATGGCAACCAAACATTTCTGAGGTTAGGTGTCAATGGTGCTGCAGGTGGATATACAAAAGTAAGCTCATCAAACAGGCTTATTGGCTTATTATTATAGGCGAAAATTAAATAAATAAAACTATTTATAGGGACCTCACGTGCGACAGATGGTGGTAGATTGTGTAGCGATTGTGAGAGATTGTGTAACGAATGTGAGATATTGTGCAATGATTGTGAGAGATTCTGACACGACTGTGAGAGATTGTGTGTGATTGAGTAATGATTGTGTGTGATTGTGTAACGATTGCGAGAGATTGTGTGAAATTGTGACAGATTGTGAACGATTGTGATCTGATTGTGTGAAGATTGTGAGAAATATGTACACCGACTGCAAGAGCTATTCACCCCTCGGTAAAAACACTTTTATGGATGGTTGAATAAAGGGGCGTGTGGAACGGCGCGCCTGGCGCATCGAGTGTGAACTGGCAAGCCAAGCGCGTGGAGTGTGGTCGCGCGGTCGCATTCAGACGGCCTGTGAACTAACAAGTTCGCGCCCCTCGATGAAAGTTTGCGTATTGAGTGTTGAGGCCTTCTCCCACCCATCTTCGTTTCAGTAATATCAGGAATTACTAAAAAAAAATTGTTATTCGTGAACTTCCCGCTCCTGTTCGCTCCACGCACCGTGTGACTGTACTCCCCCCATCGCTCCAACACGCGTGGCGCATTTCCTTTGAAGTGTGTCAAATTTACCGCTTATCGACGGGAGAAGACGCGCGGCGCGAAATTTGCCGCGTCAGTTCCTTCACACGGCGTGGAGTGCCAGTTCACGCGCCAGGAGCGCCGTTACACGCGCCGTGTAATGCCCCCTTAAGGCTTTAGAGGAAAAGCTGATCCGATGTACCCAATCTCTGGGCTCTTTATTTTTTATCTTTCTTCAATAAAGATTATTTAAAAAAAAAAGAAAAGCAAACTGTAGGCTGTAGGTAGGTACAGTCATGAGCACAAAAAGTGGGACAGCCGACTGACAGGTCTTGTCATTTTTCGCTATTTTGCGTAAATCAGTCTTTTCTCTACAATCGATTTTTTGTCAAATATGACAATCCTTGTCATTGCCGAAGGTATATCTGGTGAGCCCGTTTTACAATAGGAAAAAACGGGTGTCCCACTTTTTGTGCTCACGACTGTACATCAGCTGGTGATCAGGTAAATCGGATCAGGGCCGAGTTTAGAATTAACGCACAGGGTGTGAGTGCGATTTTATGGGTGTGTATGAATTGACAATTGGCCATTGGGCCCATAGCACCGTCTAGCATTTTTGAACAGCTAGGGCGTCGCACCAGTGTCACACACACTGGGTGTGTCATTCCTGAACTCACCCTAGCTAGTTAGGGAGACGACCGCATTTTTCCTACCCCGATCGAGTTATGTGTCGACACTATTATCAAAATATAGTATTATGTGCATCTAATAACCGGTATTCCTGCCTGAGAGCAAATGCTGCCGGAAATATCTTTTAACAAACTATTAACAGATTGAAAAAAAAGTGACACTACCCCCATCGAGTTATGCCCTAAGAAGGGTGTCAGATTAAAGGTCTCGATGTCCCCTATCTAAAAAGTCGATCCTGCCTCGTGAGAACTTGCCGGAAAAAGGTGGCAGGGCAGCTTATTGGTGCAAGGGACAGCGGTCTCAGCTTTGACACCTATCAAGTTTTGCACTGAATGATGTTCCAAATTAAAGGTGTCAATAAGTTGATTTAAGGTCTCTTTGCACAGAAATCCCAAACCAGAAGGCGTGAATTTCATTGGTAGAAACTAGTTTCCTGACTGTTTCCAAACAATGAAATTTGCTCTAAAGTCTGTTTTTTTTTTAAAGATAATTCCCCAAGTCAAAAATTTAGTAACTATGTTGGCAACACAAGCCTTTTCTACATAAAAAATTTGAAAGATTGACAATTTTACATTGTATTACCAACATAATGTCATTTTGACTTTTATCTTTAAAAAAAAAAACAGATTTTAACTGGTTTGTGATTTCTGTGCGAACCCACCTTAAA